TATTTTCCATCATGAAAGCGGCAGCCGTGTTTTTAAAATCAACAAGCGCTTTCAGTGTCATTCAGCAGCACAGTGGGTTTGATTCATTGTACGAGTGCAGTGAAGGCTGTTGCTTACTTTTGCAAAAACAGTGTATGAACATTGTATCAAATGTTAAGACCATTGCATAAGAGGTTTTACTGGAATTTAAATAGTGCTGGCTTTCAGATAATAGAGTTTGTATATGTGTGTGTTTGCGCGTGTGAGAGTTGGTGCGGATATTGTGAAGGTTTGGGTGGAAATTGTGGAAAAGTGAGGGTTTTGATAGTATCTGTGCTGACTCCATTTCATTCTTTCTTGCTTTTGTTGTCAATGGGAAACACATGGTTAGAAGACATCTGTAGTTTCGCTTAAGCTAAATGTTGCTTACGATCTCACCTATCAAGGACTTTCTCAGCCTGTGTGTGTGTGTGTGTGTGTGTGTGTGTGTGTGTGTGAAGAAAACAACTAGAAAGCGATCAATATTATTTTAGAGGCCACTCTTTTGACCTCTGTCTGTATTGGTTGCTGCAGTGGGAGGCAGTGTTCTCAGGTATCAAACGCTAATGTCTGTGAAGCTACATAAACTAGCCAGGCAGGAAATTCTAAAAGTCATTCACTTGTGACCTCTCCACATCCACCATACAAATTAGTGCCATTCATATTTGTTAGCCTTTTCTGCTGGGGTAGGCATAGGTGTGGGCAGTATGAGAATAAGTTATCGTTATTGTGACAAATTACATCACAATCAGGGACGCGTGAAGGTGTTTTAAGTTGAAGGGGGTTCAGATGTTTTAAGCAGCATATATGTGAAGTGACTGATGACGTAATGCAAATGATTTGCTCTTTTTTGCTAATTCACATCAAACAGAACATGTCATACAGTGCTACAACGAGGCACCTCAAACAACTGCTCTCTCGTTCTGGATGAATTTTATGCAAATTAACTGAGCACTGACCAATCAGATTGTCGATATGTGGCGTGGCAACCAATTGTGTCGCGCCCACAGTCATGCACAGAGATTTTAACAGTGGAACACATAACAAGTGAAAGATTCAGTGGTTGATAAAACATTATTATTACACTAGATTGTTTTTTTATATTGAACTGTGTTTGAGGATACACCCTAAAAGGGGCGGGTAGTTTTTTCCTCACGGTAACGAAAATGTAGCGTTCTCTTAAACAATGCAATCCTGAAATCAGAGGTGCTGCTAGACCCTCAGCACCCCCACTTTTCACGTCTCTAATCCCTGCATGTTTCGTTACAAACCCAACATTGTGAAATGTTCAAAAAACATCTTAAACAAGTGATGCAATCATGCTTGGGTAGAAAAGGAGCATCCAGGAAAGACCTTTATGAGCAAGGATGATTTGAGGCTCCCCACTTTGCAAAAATGCATCAGCAAAATGTCCAACAGTTTAAAAATACATAATAGTATTTCACCCTCTATAATTCATAATATCATCAAAAGAGTCAAGGAGTCTGAGGAAGTCTCTGGATTGTGTAAAGGACAAGGTTGAATCAAGACCAAAGACCACAACTGAAGGCCTGTGAGTTTTGATCCCTCAGACGGCACTGCATTAAAAAACAGCATGTTTCTGTGATGGATATCACCACTTGGGCTCAGGAATACTTTGACAAACTGTTGCCAATAAATACTGTTAAGACTGTGTTCTGCACACTAAAAGCCACATGTAAACAGCGTCCAGAAGCGCTGCTGTTGCCTCTGGGCTCTTGGTCATCTGAAAAGTGGAAGCGTGGTCTGATGTGGTCCATTTTTGATGCACAGTGAAAATGTGGTCCGACAAGTCAACCTTTGACTGTTTGTGGAAATAACGGACGTTGTGTTCTCCAAGCCAAAGAAGTACAGGACTCTACAGATTGCTACCAGCGTAAAGTTCAAAAGCCAGAGTCTGTCATGGTATTGGGGGGGGGGTATTAGAGGATAACTTGCACATCTGTAAAGCACCATTAATGCTTTAATACATATTTTGGAACAACATACGCCGCCTTTTAGACGCCATCTTATTTCAACATGACAACACCAAGCCACCTGTGTTATAACAGCATGGCTGCATAATCACATGTGGGTGCTAGACTAGTCTGCCTGCAGTCCAGAGGGGATTTCACAAAGGGTTATGTTATTCGTATGTACTGTATTTACACTTAACAAGCTTGATTCGGTACAAAAAACCTGTCATGGAAACTGATGACATGTTTGACAAAACATTGCATCCTTCAAACTCTAATCCAGCCACACTCGACTCTGTACTTTCTTTTTTTGTTGTTGTTGTTTTATTAGTCATGATTGTTATCCAATTTTTTTATTGTCAGCACCGCTACTAGCACTAAAGCCATATTTTAATAACCAAGTTTCTTTCTAGAAAGAAATGGTCACTTGTCATGTTAGCTATCTGCAACAGTATTTCTAACATTGCTGTTGGTGTATTCTGACAAAATCTTATGATGCAGTTAGTTCTACGTCTGACCGAACAGGCTCTGGACCTCGTATTGTAGCTAAAAGCGGTTGTTTTGTTACTAATGGTGAATATTTGTGAATGTGTGAAATTCAACTGCTCTAGGTTGTTTGTTTAAAGGAAAATTACACAAAAAATTTTCAAGCTCTTCGTTTTTAGTGTCCAAGACGTGAAATGTTGTGGCCAGGGCCACTGGGCAATAGGCAGCGTCAACCCCTGTTTTTCAGATCCACATACGATATCCCTCCATATTCTTTTTGAAACAAACTGGAAGTTAAACAGGAGGTGGTGTCACCAAACGAAAGTCAAGAGTCAATCCTCCAAGACTAACAGGTTTAAGGTTGTGAAAGAGAGGTAATCGCATTAGTGCTCTCTGTGCTCTGACAGACTTGAGTTCCACACTCACAGATCCACTCAGCCACATCTGTGTATGAATGAGCAGATGCACTCAGGTGGAATAAAGGACATAGAGGTTAAAGCTTCTTTCATGAAGGATTTACACTACAGCAGTAGATTAAACAGGTATCATCTTTCAGTTTGGACTGGGGTTTAACGTCTCCTACAGTGTAGATGTGCTTATTTTATAGACTAAACCTGGCATTTCCTGCAGATCGACCTTTCAGCAGTGTGAAGCTGAATGGCATGGCAAAAACATAACATCAGGATACTGGAAGGTGTTTTTCACGAGGCACAATATGTATCACAATATTTAGTTACTCTGAGGTTTATGAACATATTGGAACAGATAAAATGCACCAGCAAAACAGCAGTGTTACATTAAAACAGGCCATAAAACCATGATTATATAAATTTCTTTTATTTAATTATTGCAAAACTAAACTATTTAGAGAGAGAAAAATATATAAATAAGATAATGGCATAATGGCTTGACATCCAATCAGCTTTCAGTCATTTACTATGAAGTTCATGCAGGTACTATACACTAGTTGTAAATCTTTATTTTTATAATACATACAGTTTTTGAGTATTCTAGAAGTACTGATGATACTCTTGATAAGGACCAAATCGGAATGTTTGTAAACATAAAGGTTGGCTATACTTCCACTTGGATAACTTGCATCCAGTCATCAAAGAAGCACTTTAATTTAATTAGTGGTACATTGTTGTGTTTGAGGCTATGTTCCCAAGTATGTAATAGATTTAGGTTTTCCCATTCCTTCCCATTCACTTTCCTCATTTGAACTGCACCTGGGGTTTTAACCAGTTGGTGCCTGAAATCAGAACAGAATGTGAAGCTGAAAAACGGGTTGACACTCCGTATTGCCCAGTGGCACAACCTGGCCACTAAAAATGCAGAGCTTGTATATTTTTTGTATTTCTTTTCTTTTAACAAACCACTAGACCAGTTGAATTTCACGCATTCACAAATATCCGAAGTTATGTAACTTTGTTGCCTTGACTATCAGTGTGACAAACTCGGATAACAAAACTTTGTAAACAGCATTTTACATTGTTATTATGGCAATTTGTCCATATAGGCAAAGAGTGCTATCGTGTGCAAAGCAAAATCACTCAAGGTAATTAAGCCTTATAGCTATGAGATCCACTGATAAATTATCATGTTTATAACAAGCAGTATAACATACTAATCTTGCGTAGAACTGCAACATCCAAATGTGAATATTAATGGGAAATAAAAAAAGTTTTATTTATTTTACATGGAATAGATTCTTAATTAATCTTTTAAAGTCTAATTAGTATTATACATTCTTAATTAGTATCATATGCTTAATTACTATTTATTCTTATTTATCCTCATGTTCTTCATTGTTGTCCTCTATTGTCATTATTAACATTTACTTCTTTACAGACAAAAGTTGGTTATCATGTTGGCTGCAGTCTTTTCAGGGTATCAGTATTGATTCTGTTGGAAATGGGGTAATCTATTGATTATTTGAGGTTTTCTAAAGTTATTAAAAAATTTTTAAGTAATAAAAAACTGAACAGTAAAAAAACATCCATAGCCTTTCTAGCTTTTCTAAATTGGTTCATCTGTCATATTTTTTTTACAGGTGAAGAATTTAAAATGTGCATTTTTTTAGTCATCTAATTAAGTTTAATCAGTTAATCGTGACAACCCTTATTTTCTTTTTTCCCTACTTATTGGGTGGGTGCTTATTGTAAATGTTGTCTCTTACTTCAGTGGGTTGGATTGAGTATCATTGCTGCCCTGAAAGTGGAGGGGAGGGTAAGAGTGGAGGAGAGGAGAGTAGCGGGGAATTGGAGAGACAGGCAGGCAGACAGCCATTGAGAATTCCCTCTCTTCTTGTAAGATAGGGCCTTTTTGGTTTCACTGTCTTCCCTATGGGTAGGGGGGCGCAGTCTTCACATGAAAGGGATTTGGAAGGATAATCATATTAATGGCACCGTTCTCTCTCTCTCTCCCACTCTCTCTCACTCTCTCTCTCTCTCTCTCTCTCTCTCTCTCTCTCTCTCTTCTCCCCTCGTCCCGTTTTTCTTTTTTTCCTGTCTCTTTTCACAGTGATGGCCCCTCTCATGCAGCTGTTCCTAGGCTCGCCTCAGCTGGGATCCATATAGAACTCTGACGATATTCCACGCACACGCACTTAGGACACCACAACACACTCCCGCTCAGCCATGTACAGTGTGGAGGACCTTCTCATCTCTCATGGATACAAAGTCAGCAGCAGCAACAACAACGTTCCCCCTTCACACTCGCCCTCGTCCCACCACACCACCTATGATCAGCGGCCGCCGACGCGCAGCAATAGCCGGTGTGAAATCGGCGAGAAGCGGACGGGACACGGCACGGTGAATGGCTACAAGGCAGACTGTGTTTATGGTGGCGGCGGTGTCAGGCAGACGGCGTCTAGGGGCGGCCCCAGTGACACAGAGAGCAGGGACAGGAAGCAGAGGACAGAGGAAGAGGACAACGGTAACCTAGGAGATGGACAGTCACCAGGAGACAGCCTGACCACAGACAGTGGGTGAGTGGAAGTGATTTCTGTGTCTAACACCCCTCTGCCTTCATTTTAAAGCCACTCTTGACTCCAGCACATACAAGACCCTCTCGCCTCTATGTCGTTGTTTTTCCTTTTTTTCTCCTTTTTTTGATCTTGCAGAGCAGCTCAGGTTTAAGCTGGCTTGGGGGATGTGGAGTGGTGGAGTGTTATGTAAAGGTGGGAGCTGTCAAGGACTTTTCCACAGCTGTAGGACAAGAATCTAACAGCTCCCTCTCTCTTTTGTACATGCTCTCTCTTTCTATGCCGTCACTCTCTTGCTTCTTTAAGCCTGTAACCAACTTTATACAGCCTTCAGTTTATGTTGAGTCTTTATGTTCATTAAACATGTTTCACAACTCGATTTCTCTCGTATTTTGGCTTGCTGTCCTGCTCCTCTTTTTCTCAGTCCCTCTTGCTCTGTCCCTGATAGGCTCATTAGCTGTATTATCTAGAAGTGGCAATCTGCTGTTTGATTCATTTCCTGCCACCTGGGACTGCTGTATTGTAAACAGCACTATAGCGGGACAGCCCTCAGCACCCCCTGTTTTGCATGCTCACTGCTACAGGCAAACCCACTGGTAAACTACAAATCCCATGAGGCCTTTTTCAGATCAATATTCCGCTCCTTAATGTCTTATGTAACATTGGAATTAATAATACATGATGAATTCAAGTGTGAACATCGTTATGCTACTAATTATAGTACAGCAGTTTCATAGGCGGAGTCAATGCAGTGCTGCCATGAAAGCTGGAAAAAAGCCCTTTTCGTGAGGTCTTTTTTGTCAGCACTTGAATATGAATATAGTGAATATTTCTGTGGATTGCTTTGCAAAAATTAGGCACTCTGCTCTCACGTTGTTGTATTTATAGTCTATAATTTATAATATATCAGTAATAAATCAGAAACAAATCAATAATAAAATATTCTGTGATCTTGTACTTGTTTCAGCTTTTACATCATTTGTAAAAGGCTCATCATTGTCAGGCTCATTTTTTATGATTTTATGATTCTTCCCTGAATTAAGGTTAGAGTTGATACAAATGCAGATCAGAAACCCTCTGCAGTCGTGATACGGTGGTTAGAGTGGTCTGTCAGTGCTGACTAAACCTATTGCATTAAGCTAGAGGCTAAAGGAGTCAATGTTGGCTTCCTCCTCAAAGCATCAATAAGGAGGGCTTACTGATTTGAACTTCCCCTCCAAGGTCTAATTTAGATTTAGACACCTCACTTTATTATCTCTATAACTATTAATTGCTTTATAATTTATTTTGTAAATGACATAGCTTTGCAAATCTAAGTTTCAAAGATGTATTTTTCTTGATATGAAAATTTCATCACCCGTGTTTAGGCAGGCTATCAATATGATAGTAAATTATTTTTGCCTTCAGAAATGACAGTAACTCTCAGACTTATTTAACCTTTGTTTCTCACATCTTTTCAATGCAGATTCCATGAGAGCCACAGGGGAATGTACTCTCAGCCCAGGCCAGAGCGGGATGTGTCCTACTGGCGTAGACGGGGTCAAGACTTTAATGCACTTCTGGACTATGCTGATTTTAGGGAGCCGCATGGAAAGGAATCAGGGATTTCTGTTAAGGCAGAGGGCATGCAGCGAAGGCCAGAGTCAGCCTTAAGCACAGAGGAGCATCGCCGTGAGAGGCAGCGCAGGGCGGACAGTGCACGTGCCAGAGAGCGTGAACTGGCCCTGTACCAGTGGAGAATAGCAGCAGAAAGGAAGTACCAGAGCCTGGGAACAGAAGAGTGGCGCCCAGCTGTGGGAATGGGCCGACAAACCTCCGAGAATGAAGGTGAGAGATGGGCACAAGAGCAGCAGCGGCGGCCTCGAACAGCAGAGGGTGCTGTTCCACCAAGGCCCAAAGCCAAATCCCAGTCACTGCCCAGAATGGCTATGCCCTCAGACAGTGTCCAGTTCTTAAGCACATCATCCCCTGGTCAAGATCCATATGGGAGCTACCGAATAAACGGGCATCAGATACGGGAGTCACATGGACGTAATCTCAGTGAAGGGGAAAGCAGGGAGCGGTGGACTGACAACGTGCGGTCAGGCGTGCAGTCTGCACCCCCTTCAAAACCCCGTTTTAGCCGACCTCTTAGACCTCCATCGTATGAGGTTCACCAGCAGATGCGTGGAAGTTCAGAAATGCTCTCTGGAGAATATATGCCCCATGCCAGAGACAGGACTCCACTGCCTTTTACCAGACAGGAGTACTTTGCACAGGAACCTGGAGGGTCTGGCATGGAGCCTCCAGGTTACATCCCTCCACCATCCTACAGGAGACAGCCTCCAGTCAGGGGAGGGCACAGGACTTATGCAAATTCAATGGGAAACTACCAGTACAGGGGTGACCCATATATGCAGGGACCGGCCATGGCAGAAGTCCAAGAGTGGTTCATGAGACAGACTGGCATGTCTTGGCCAGATCATCACAGGGATGGGAGAAGGAGTATGCCCTGCAGAAGACAAGCCTACCCAGCTTATAGTGAGGAGAGGATGGGAAATGTTCAGTACATACCCTTTGATGATCCACGTGTCAGGCATATCTCAGGAGAGGGGATAGATGGGAATTCATTGACAGACGCTGACAAAATCAGGAATATTAGAAAAGAGATTCCTATCGTCTCTTTATCTGAGAAAGCTCCTGATGACAGTGCCTTTCCGCTCACAGAAAAAACATACAGCAGCACAGAAGCAAGTAAAAACAATATCAGTGACTGCATTAATGAAGCAGCCATGCGTAAGGATGTTTCAAAGGACTTAAAATCAGTATCTGATGAAAATTCCAACAGGTATCCATCTGGCCATGACTATTCTGACCCCTTCCAAACGACACCATCACAGCAAAGCTGTGAGACGATAACCCAAGTAAAAAAATTTGAGGCACAAACTGCAGCTGAGAATAAGAAAAACAAGAAGAAACTGAAAGAGACCATGTTTTGCCTAGTGTCGGTTCCAATAAACGTGATGGCAAGCAAGGGAACCGCTGATCCAAATAACAATGAAAAAGTGCCAAGCCCAGTGGTGACACCCTCAGAGAACACAGTGACTCAGCCTCATAGCCAAGACTGCTCCACAATCTCCATCAGCAATGAACCACATATACAGCCCAGCAGCGCCTCAGCAATCAAGAACTCTAAAAGAGCTCCACTTAAGAAAGAGATTGTAGATGTTTGGTCTCTTCAAGCAAGTGCTGACAAAGAATTGTGCTATGCGGGGTCCTGGCCAGGAGATCAATACAAGAACCAAGAGACTCAGACAGGCTCTCCTGAAGTTTCCAGAGGTGTTCATTCTCCAAGCTCTCATACCCAGACCACATATGACCCTCCATCCTCTGACACCACTACAGACAGTGGAGTGGGCACAGAGTGCAATGCCACTTTTGGGTATCCCATGAAAGGCCAAAAGAATCTTAACCTTTCCAGCAACAGTGCATTTTCCCGAACAAGGGCAGGTAGCAGCTCCAGTGCAAAGAGTCCAGCTCAGCTCCTAACATCTCCGACACCACCATCTCCTGATCGCCAGCCTCCAATGAGGAAGAGCTCATCTAAAGCCCGAGCGCCAGGTGGCCAAGAGATTTTTGGCCAGTTCCTTTTAAAACCTGTCAACAGGCGCCCCTGGGATGCTATTGGGGAGCTTGAGTCTTTTAACAAGGAGCTTCAAGATCAGAACAGCAAAAAACAACCAAGCATTGACCAGACTTTAGAGGATCTGGATGAGGCATTACAAAACATTCTAGAGGTGACCAACACATGCACAGAGGTTATGCAACCTCTGAAAACACCACAAAACATGAAGAGAGACCTGCCACATAAGGAACAAAGTCCAGAGCAGCTTTTGAAGAAAAACAACTTAAACATCAGGTCAGATTTAGAGAGCAGGGGCAAAACAGAAGTGGATCGAGAATACAGGGAAGTGAGAAGTGCTTTCTCTAGGCCAAAGGAAAGGATAGCAAATTCTGACATAGCACAAAGACAAGACATGCCTGTACAAAATGACACTAGTTTCGTAAGCTATGAGGTCTTGCAGAGAATACAAGGTGAGCCCAGGGGACAAAGGCTAGATATTCCTGTGCCAAAGGAGTCCTTACTGAAGGATGTGGGGCTGACAGTGTACACAGCGATCCCAGACACGGTGACATCGGGATCACCTGCAGGTTTAAGCCCTGACTCCCCGATGCTTACAAGTCCCTCTGACAACTCAGAAACATGTGAGGCCTTACACATCACGTCATCAGATAGTGGAGGGGATAGAAGCAGAAACAGTCCAGAATTCATTGTGGATCAAAGTTCAGATATTCACATGTGCATCTCTGCTGAACTTGACCTTGAGAAAGAAGTGGAGTACAGGAGCAAAGGGGTCACCAAACAAAGGTCACCTCACATCCATGGTGCCAGAACTCAGCATTTTAGCTTTAAAGCAAACTATGCCGATGACGATGATGACGGCTATTCAGACTATCTCAGCTGGAGTAATGAGAAGACATTAGCAGATGAACATCTGGAAACTCTTTTGAGTCAAGAGAAAGCCAACAGCTTGCCAACAGAAGATCTAAGCAACCTGTACCAGGTTCAATGTGCTCAGGGCATTCCTGAGCATGAGTCAATTGAACAGAGGGCTGCCAGGATCTTGGGCATTGCTGTGCCAGCTGAAGCCTTGGTTGTCAATCAGAATGACGGCAAGCAGAATGAAGGAAAAGCAAAAGGCACGAATCAAGCAGGCTTTGCTATGCAAACCAGGGAGATAAGCCCAAATGAGGATACACAGCATGTGAGTAGAGAGTATGAGGAAGTGGTAGAGACATCAGTACACAGCTGTGAACTGAAGATGGAAAAGAAAGATCTAGGCATTAGGCAAGATAATGCCTCTAGAGAAGAGCTCAGCACAGAGAGCCAAACATTTTCCGCAGTGTTGGAGCTGCCTGAGTTTCCCCCCAGCAACTTGCGTTTGTCGCTACCAGTGACTGAGGATGAGGAATTAGCTTTAAGTGTTTGTGGAGGTGAGAAAAGGACTTGGCCTGCTGAAGAGGTTTCTGAAGGCCAAGAGGACAAGTCAAGTGCATCTTATATGTTCAGAAATGAAGAACTGTCTGCAGAGCACATTAATCCTGTTGAGGAGGGAGAGCCAATATCATGCATCAGCACTTTCACCAAAGAGATGGAGAAAGAGGAGGAAGCAGAGGAAATGGGGGAGGAAAAATCTGTTCAAGAGGAGGAAGTACTAGAGGGAGAAAAAGAGCAAACTCTGGAGAGTGAAATGGAAGCAGGTGAGTGCGAAGCTGCTTTTGAAAAAAAGAAGGATGAAGATGATGACAGAAAAAGCGAAGAACCAGAAGACGAAATGTTTCAGGAAAGTTCACAGCAGCAACCAAAGTTCATGTTGCGTCCAGTCCCTCAGCCTCGCAGTGGCACAGTGACCAAGAGAGAGATTACCTTGCCAGCTACATTCAACATGTCTGATGACTTGGCTGCACTAGATGATGATGATGTTCAGTGTGTCTCAGGTCAGTACATTCATTTACATGGTGATATTTGCCAAAGATTAAAGGTAGTCACATACTGAAGGTGTGGAACCAGAGTGGCGTAAGTGACCAATTCTACAGGAGAGTGCAATTAAATTTCAGCCATACTTTGGCCTGCCTGTGTTTTACATTCACCGTCAACATAAAATATTCAGTATTGTAACAGCATTAACTGATCAAAACAATTTAAATATTTTTAAAAATCTTTAAAATAATATGCACCTTTTTGGCACCAATAATTACCCATATGATATGAATAGTTATAAACGAAAGAACAGTGCATTAAATCAGAACTTAAAGAATGCAATTAATTGTTATTTTAAAAAACGACTACAGTGGCACCTTATTGATATAGCAGCATGTTTAATTTGAAGTTTAACCTTTTAATTAACTTTTAACTTCGTAATAAGCAACTAACTTAATGCACAACAAACACTGTATCCTTTCAAAAACTGCACACACACACACACACACACGCACACACACACACAAAGTTTGGGCTCCCCAGGGAAATAAATGGCGTTTTGTTCTAAATGAAAATAAGTACACATCCTCTATAGAGAACACACTTGTGCACATTTTAATGCACAGTTACTGTTTATTTGCTGGACTGAACGTACATAAAATGTTGCCTCTACAAAAGTTTGTCCCCTGTATAGCATATGTTAACTGATTTTCACTTGGAGTATAAAGCATAAAGCTTAGAATTCAGACATCTCATGGTTCTTAAATATGGGGGTCATATGACATTAGGAAGAAGCTAATTTGCATCTCAAAAATCCTAATCTGAGTTTTTAAACTTTGAAACTGTTTATTTCAAAATTCTGACTCATCCCTACTTGCTCTAAACACATTTGACTTTGAATGTTAGGTTTTCATTTTTCATTTAGGTTCTCATTTTTTTAGAATTGGATGAACATTAATATCTGTTCTTTTTGGCATGAGGTAAGTCTCATAAAGACCTTTAATTTGGTATATATCTTCACCCAAAATGTCACCTACGCACCCCTCTGGTTCCAAGCCCTCGATAGTAACTTTTTTTTCACAGTACTGTTTTAGCTAGAGCTTGCAATTACCACATGATACAGTTGAAGCTCCTGTGTGAGTGTTGTTTGGTTTAAAAAAAACTCATTTAATAGTAGTGGACAGATTGCAACTTGGAATGCTCATCAAAAGGCTGGACAAAGTTTTGTTTCAAAACCTATACTCAGTTCAGTGCTTTTCAGCGGTGTTTTCTGAGGTGGTTGAATTGCACCCTTCACCTTACAAATGCTGAATTTTCTACTAATTTACTGCTACCTGGTCCAAACATCTGCTAATGCTGACAAATAGAAAATTCAGTTGCAGTAAATGTTTCTTACCACAAGAGGGAAGCAAAGTCTAGTGAATTTCACTAATAGCAACCCCCTCGCACTAAACCAAAATTCTGAAACACAGAGGTTTTGCTCAGCTTAACTGCTGGATGTTCTTCCTGAACCAAATTCGTGATTTGACTCAAATGTCCTTTCATTCCTCAGACGCCTATGATCCTAGCCGAGTTGAGAGGGTGTGAACTTGGAGGATTGTCATGGCAACTCAAACTGTCATGCCATATCACTGTATCTGCCATATCCTGGCTGGAATATCTGCTACAGTCAACGACTCCACCTCTTGGTATTCTTTTCTTCATCTCTGTATAGGTTAGGACTTTTTGCTTTGTACAAACAGCACCCTCTCCTCATCTGTTACATATTTTTATAATTATTATTTTTTACTTTTACTTTCTTCAAGAGAAGATGAGTGATGCTGTTCACTCTTGACACAGCTGTTGAGATGAACATATGTCTAATTAAAGAAAGACTGGATGCAAAATAACTCAGTTTTAGTCATAAAAGTTGTAAATAATTTTCTCTGCACCAGCAAATGTTGACATTTTGTCAGATATTCACCAAACAGTTTCACAGTGCCATTGAAATAAAATAAAAAAACATGCCAGTTTACACGTGTCATCTCCTACAGTATTGCCAAAACCAAAAACGTTCACATAGCAATCATTATGAGCCTTGTGCTCAGTGTGTTAACTTTGAGGCCGGACCAGATAGATTACACTGTGCTATAACTTAAAATCAAAGTATTTTTTTGTGTGAAGTCATGAATGGATAGAAGAAAAATATATATAGAGATATATAGAAATACAAGTCGGGATAAATGTTATTATGTGTGTATTGAAATCCACAACCACATAGCAGAGTAGCAAATATACTTTATTAAACGAGTTTGCTGTTGTAAATAGTACACGTCTAGTCTCAAGTGCAAGTGAACATTTACATTCGCACCCATTTCACTCTTTCTCATTTAATACAGCTACAGCATTGTGATTCCTAAGGTCCAATACAACCAAATATATTGTAAACAAACATTCATTTTATGTATTGAACCTTACATTATTAAACACTTTTACACATTGTTCACGTACCTAGTGTTACATTTACATGGACCTACAGTCCCAGCATTATACTGTAATTCTGGAACTTGATCTGTCATTTTTTCATAGCCGATGATGTAAAACCTTACTTTAAAACGTTGCTCTGACTTTCAGTATCTTATATGCAATCCAAGGCTTATGATTAGCAGTAGCCAGCAGAAAACACATCACATCACCCATGCAAATAGAAAGTGTATTTATTTTTATCAAGCAAATCTCAGACTGTATAAATGGAAATGTTGTATTCTAAGTACTTGATAACTAACTGTGTCATTTTATTTGCTTGATTACAATCATTTTGCATATGTGTGAGTATGTGTAATTTCCTGCAGAGCCTGTGAGGTGTTCAGGTGGTGTTGGCGTGCCTTTTGACACAAAATTGACAAGATATCTTATATGTTGTGTTGTCTTCCCTCAAGTTGTCATGCTGTCAAGTTAATAATGCTGTCTTGTATGCTCAGTGTAGGGCATACATGACATTCTGCCAAACAATATCAGCCTTTCATTCGTATTATAGCACTGTCAGTATGTGTGGCTGCTTTGTAAGTGCTGTGCAATGTGGGCAGAGTGTATGTACACATGAATAACAGCTACATGAGAACACCAACTTGATGAAATACTGTTCAGCTTTGTTTGTCATAAGGGTTAAGGTGACTGAAGGTGGTTTAGGTCACCACAGTGCATAAATGGTTAATATACTCCAGAAGCTTATGGACGTTTGGGGAAAAACATCCAAATAACTCATACATCCATCTATTCCCCCTGTCCCTCAAATGTTAGTAGCTGTTGAATAGCCGTTAACATCAGTGTATAGTTGTCTCTAAGCCTTTGTAAGAGTTTGTGCAACATGAAGAACTATAGTGTTGCAAAATGTATGTTTCATGTAATATTCTTTTCTATTTTCATACAGAAACTGTGTGTCTGTTTTTGTACAAATGGGTATTAATGTGTGTTCCCTCTCCGCATGAGTTAAGCAGTGTATCATGGGTAAAACTGGGGACTAAGGTTTTGCATATTACTGCATTTGGTACTATATACTAAACAAAACATTATATTTCATAATGCATATTTGTATCTTCCAAAAGAAAGCTTTGACAGATATTTAAATTCAGAACATTATTTTTAGAATATTTTGAAGAAGGGAAGTGTTTATTATAGGCACGTATTTGAAGCAATCAGTTTTAAACACAATGTTGGCAAAGTGCTTCCTTTGTACATTGCAACAAATTATTCATTAATAAACTCTTTGCATGGACTGCTTTTGTTTGTTTTCTGAGATCTGAAGGCAGAAGCTTACCGAAAGTGATTCTGGGCGGAGGATGCAAATGACTGAGTGGTATTATATTACATCAGGGGACATTTCCATGGAAGTCTGACCAGCACTCTTTATAACCTGTCATTTGTGAGTCACGTTTGTTTATTTGAAAGGTTTTGTTCCAAAAACACTTTCATGAAGTAATATAACCTTCATTTGAGAAATAAAAATGCGTCTTTTGACAAAGTACGTTATACATGAGCTGTTATTTTTTCAGATCTCTTTTTGTTACATATGAATGTACAGCTTTTATAATGAAACTCTTAGTTTATTCATGTATTGTATTTTTAAAAAATGTAATGATTTAGAAGTTAAAAGTTTCTTGGAAAAATAATATGGAAGAAAAAACTTATAATTGCTCATGCAAGAAATACATGTGCAATAAATGCAGTGTTTTAAAATATGTGTCCTAAATATATAACTGTGCCATTTTTAAATATTTAAATATATGCTAATAGATGCACAAATATCATAAAACACAAAAAACTCCAAAGCACTCTCCTTTTTAAAACAAAGGCATGGTCCATGGCATGGTCATATTCAACCATTAAAAACCCAAAACATATGTACACATGTAGAAGAAATCTATGTAACATTGTCAGCTTTTAATATTTGTATGCATGTCAAACATATATGAAAATATATTGCAAAATTTACACATTTAGAAAAATATATGGAAATCTATTTCCTTTGCATACACAAGCTAGTATGTCTCAACTACAGAGTTTCTCCCTTTGAAAGACAATGAACTTAATTTGATGTTTAAATGAATGTGTTTGAGTGGATTGAGCAAAGAGGCCACCCAGTAGCTGTTCATATGCAAATTAGCGCTGCATTGATGACATCAATGTAAGTCACCGTTGTGTGCGGACACCACCAGGATCCCCCCTAACTGAATAAATCAGATGTAGGGAAGTGTATTTGTGCAGTATGTACTTCGCTATGGGGAAGAGTTATACTAAGTGGATAAACAGTTTGGATCTTCAGCAAATTCAAAGCAGTAAGAACTGGATCAAGAATGTGTTTTATTATATGATTTCTATTCATAAGGTGTCGAGCAAACATCTAATTGAAAATGAACTACAATCTGTTGTAAAGTGAGATCAAGATCAGTAACATAATTGCTCATGACAAATAAACAGTGATGTCACAATACAGTATATTGACTGATGCTTGTCCTGCTTTGATGCCATAAAACTGAACCACATTTATCTTGCAACGATTTGCATGAAATGCAAAATTTCCATCCTTATATGAGGTATTGACTTCTGAGTACAGAGCAACACAGACTGCATTGTACCAGTTTACTCTTGACACTGCAAATCCAGTTTCAGTTGACCACATGAATGCTCGCATGATTGGGGCTTGCGTTATCCCTTGTGTACAGTGAACAGAGGCCTGACCAGAGGATCAATAGAATAATGAAATTAAGAAGCACGGTATCCGCCTCTGCTCTGTGAGTAAGAGCGCAGCTCGGGAAACTCTCCGGACATTGGACTAATCCTAATCCGGTTAAAGGACCCTCGGGAAACAGGATGTCCAGTCCGGACTCTGGAGATTGGGAGGAATTAGTGTATAGGCATGAGGGAAAGTGTGTGAGGGATGTTGTTGTTACTGTATAGCATGAGAGTGTGTTCCTTAAGAAAACAGTTTACAACAATCTCTTCTTATTCAGAGCTAAATGGGTGTATTGTTGAGCTGCTGGTAAACTTTTAGAAGGTAAAGGTCAGTAACACACTGTATATTGTTCTCTGATGTATGCAACTTACCACTGAAAAAAGGTGAAGCAGTGAATTTAGTTTAACACAAATAAAATATAACAAACAAACAGTTCTGTCTTTCAGTTTACTTAGCTTTGGCAATACTTATGTTGCTTTAATATAGTTCATTAATGTGGAAATAATGAATCAATTTGAATCATTTGAATCAAATTCACTGTTTCACAGTCCAATTATTTATGTAATAACACTTAGAAAAAAGCACAAAAAGTACAGTGAAATGCATCCCTACTGGTTTATAGCCTGTGTTCTTCAGTCTTCCCAACTGTCCCAGATGTTTTCATTCTCTCTCACACCGACATCTTTGTCATTTCAAAAGGTCAGCAGCATAAATAATCAGCCTTAGTTAATTCCAGGACGCAACTTTAATTGTTGATTGAAACTGGTTTGTGTGTGTGTTTGTGTCTCCAGTTACAAAGAGAAAAGGTTAAGCTGAAGAATTACCCTCCACTCACAGAGCCAGAGCCAGTGGCCTTTCTGAAGCAGACACGTAGCCGAGCGAAGGGGCTACAGCTAACAGTCATGAGCTCATTCCAATTAGACCAGCAGAGAAAAGGCCCTCTCTTAATGTTGAAGAGCTCTCTCTGAGGCCAAGGCTGACTAATGCCTCTCATTTGGCAACCCATCCGACCTTTCAGACAAATCTCAGGGCTCTCTCACTCAGATCTTGGCAAACGAGAGAGTACAAACTGTCAGTGTTTCTCTCCAGATCAAGATAGTGCTTGAGCTGAGTTTGGAATGAGTTGCGCTGCTCTTTGGCTTGTGTGATTCAGTAATTCACACAGTGCCCAACTGCATTCAGTATCAGATATCAAACCAGAACTGATGCATGTAATTAAAAAGTAGTCAGAGAAGGTACTTTTTTAACACTACCAAACAAAGAAGGGAAAGAACATGATGTGAAACAGCATGCAGAAACAAAGATTGAATCTGTGCCCACAAGTTTTCATTAGTTGTCTTCAGGTAACACGTTATAATACTATTATAATACTGTTGTAATACTGTAGTTAATAGGGATTAATGCACAGTACTGCATTAACAGTTCCATGTTCCTCTTTTGTATGAGTACAAGCACAGTTTGAGTTGAATCATTAAACATAACCAGTACAGACAAAACTAAATCAAAAATGTGAAAAGTTTGAGTCCTGAGACTAATCACTTTTATGGTAGTGTAAACTTACTAAGGCAAATCTAGTAACATTTACTATTTCTCGTATAATACCTTAATTACTTAAGTAAAGCTGGTTAAGATCAATTCATTTGGATAAGTTCTACAAACTGAAGGGTCTTTTGCCTAAAAAAATCTTCCCAGCATTCTTAGCGGTTTTGTTGGTTTCTGTAAATTAACTCTTTTAATTTTTCATTCACTCTCTTTACATAACAGTGTTATGTTTGTATTATAGCATATTGTCATGTTATGTTTTGGTGCATTTTACATGTTTTTATTATTCTCACCATGAAGGTAGATTAAGGCGATGAGTTCAAACAATTTTATCGAGTAAGGTGACATTATTTTGCAGTAATTAAATGAGAGGTTAAGCTAACCTCAAACTTAAATAACTCATTCAAGAGTAAACAGGTCTCAAAAGAGTAGAGAACTGCCAGCTCAATGGAAACTATTTAAATGAATTGTGCTGTTTGAGCTAACCTTACTTGCTGAAGAAGTGTGTATCACTGAAAAGTGAAAGTATAACTCATATATAACTCATATATATTATTTAAGCTCGAACCTGTAAATTAACTTTACTTAATTTTTTTAAGGCAATAAGTTTGAATTATTTTTTTTTAAGTAAAGTCAACTAATTTAAGTTTAGCTTACCTTAGCTTATGTTAGTTAACTGCAGGCTTAGTACATAAAAAGGATTATTATTCAGTAACTACAAGGACTTCAATGCAAATTAATGGAGCTATTCTTAGGTTGTAGAAATGTGTAATGAACTTTGTGCCTGGCAGTGGGGCCACGGTTTATTAAGGGGTTAAATTAGCTTGCAAACATGTACTCACAATGCAACATAAGCAAGATGCTTTTACAAGAAACTAAGAAGAATCAAAGCAAATAAGACAAAAGAAGCAGAACACAATGTCCATTTAGCTAAGACTAGTTTGCTGGCCAGCTAGTTGCTTCTCTGTGAGCTTCCTCAGGTTAGAAACAGACTTCCACTGGGTTTGGGAGGCATATCCAGCAGCTCATAATAAACCATTTTCTTTAATTTGTTTAAAAATGAACAGATATAACAAATGTGGTGAGTATTTTCTTCATATGCACTGCTATTGTCTCGATCACACACGCAGTCTGAACACATCAGCACTGAACTGTAGTTTTTTTGTATAAAGCAGCCATAGTGATAGTGGCATAGTGAGCCAGGAGATACATAAAACTCAATAATTATTGTTCAGTTAATGGTGAACTGAGTAATTAACCAGTATTCCTTAGTAGTAGTGAATAGTAGCTAATAGTAATGTTAATGCAGCACTGTTCATTAGTCCCTGCATAGTTTCCTATTATAAAGAATCACCTGTGATCACTGGCACACCAGCTCTGAGTGCCTGATCTAAAGCTCAGTATCATCAAACCTCATGTTTCTGAAATGGTCTCTTCAGAGAAAATGAAAAAAGACAGACTTAATTTTAATGTATCTGAATGTAACAAGTAATTTTGCACCATTTCTGTTGGTCCACTCAACATGAAGTGTTCATACAATGTACAGGCAGCTGGCATTTTCAAATCATATAAAAATAATTGTAATAACGCCTCTAAGTCAACACACCCATTGATGTGTTGTTTCCAGCCATTATCCCACATTCAGCCTTAACGCACACACCACTTTATATCTGATGGAATCTTTTGTAGATAAGATCATTCACAATACCTTGAAGGCCATGAAACTGTGTGCTTATATGCCAAACACCTGGACATGCTCTGATCCTGCTCCTGCTGCTCTCCATGTGTAAACTTTCCTGGCACACACATTCATACACACACTTGCACGCATACCTTTTGACTCCTATCCAACTTCAAATATGCTGCATCGTGTTGTTCGTTAATTTTTTCGCAAACAAAATGTTTCTGCCACGTTTCAGCAAATCTATCTGGTTCTGGTTTGTTTGAGTTTTAGGTGTGAAAGCTGTGTTTCTGATTTCTTGGGTTTGAGTTGAGAGCAA